TAGTTGTTACAGGCATAGTTGGAAATGCATACCGAGTCTTTAAAATCTTAAACTGACATACAACCCGCTGAATGTGTATTAAAAGACACCCGTATACGTCCGTGCGGAGAGCACCCCTACTTGTCCAGGCCGTGTTCACAACTATGCATGGTTGGTTCGTCCGCACACGTTACAAATACAGTTTGTGTACGCACCCGGGCAAGCACTTTGGTACACACCTTTGCATGTATAGTTAGACCCTACAAAATGAAGGTTTCGGCGCACTGGAATGACAATATCCACATCTTTATCACCCGGAATCCAACCTCGATGGCGGTAGCTACCCAGCAAGGTGCCCGCATCAATGTAATAATACATACCCATCTCATTGAGGGCTTTTATAAGATACGATGTGTGTGACGGGGGGCTATTTACAGAACATTGTGTTGTAAGGAGGGGTTTTGGATGAGTTCAAGGTTAAGTGTTCTGTCGTGTGTTCGACTTTTCTACGCTGCTGGCACTAGGAATGCATTGATGCGGCATTGGGATAATGATGTCACAAACAGATAGATACGCATAAATCACACATGTACATACATAACGTGTTAAAAACATGCACATGTCTAGTATATACAAGCACGCGGAATCAAATAAACTTACACGGCACGTACAAAGTTATACACAGATCCATGCGAACAAAGACACGGAAAAAAAAACACAAGTACACGCCCCGATGTACTACTATATACATCTCGTATGTACACTCTTATACACCCCCCAAAAGAAATCAGACACATGCAAAGCACATAGAACTCATACACACTCACAAACAAATACTCGCAGTGATATATACTCACATTGGTACCCCCATACATACAGGTGCACATGATGATCAGCCGTATCTATTGGCAGTACGAAAACGAATCACTCCCAAAAAACGAAGCAGCGGAGAAAAAACAGTCAGAAATTCTACGATTGATACAGCTAATCTCAGCGAGAACAGGCGTGAAACAAATACAAGATTTGCTGTATCCGGCTATCTTGTCACAAGGCTAATACGTAAAAACGTTAATTCTCAACCACAAAGATAGCCACAGGCCTACATACCTATTGGCAGTCACAGCCTGTGCGTCAAAGGGCGGGGGATCAGGGAATCCAGTACAGGGTGGCACAATCCACGGCAAGTATGCATTCGGGGTACCACGGCCAATTGTTGAGGGCTCGAGAAGTAGTGGGTGTGCCGAGGGATACACATCTCCCTAATAGTGTACAGCGGGTTGTGATGACATATCAGATACGCGTGCTGGCATTGTGTGTATGTGTGTGTGTGGAGAGAGAGAGAGAGTGTGTGTGTGTAGTGTATGCGTTTGGTTTGTGCGCGCTGTATGTATGTGATAGGATAGGTATAAACGTGTATACAATATCTGTATGCGCATATGTGTGGAGAGTGCTGTTTTGGGCCTCTGCAGTGATAACGATTAAAGTGGCATGCAGAGACTTGCGCATTCTTGTGTACTTGCATGTTGGCTTTTTGAAGCTAAACCCTGCACCGCACATAGCACTTTATGGATACAGATTTAAATAGAAATGCATATCACAACAACATCTGTATCATTCTATTTTGTTTGAGTCTGTACAAAAATATACTGCGATATCAGTAGGCGCGTGCAGCTGCCACAGTTTGTGGTAGTACATACCTCTGCGTAAAGTTAAATTGCCTAGAAATGAATCTCAAAGACCGACAACTGAAGGCGAGATACCCTCATCAGATGACTAAAACCGCGCTACTGAGAATTTTCATGCACACATATGTATTTATAGAAATCTTTGATTGCCGAAGAGTACACCATACTACCCAACATACGCACACAAAGCTTTCTCTGTCGGAGATATAAACCACTTATCACATTCTCACACACCTTCAACGCTTTTGCAGCCCATTCTTTGACTTTAGTGTCGTGATCATACGCAGGCATGGCCAAGGCTGTGCTCTTATCCAACACACCAAGCGCGAACAGGAAATCGATCGTCACATCTGAAACGGTAGCGATAATATTACACACAAATCAGTACCAGTTATAACTGTTCAGGCTTTGCATAAAAATTGTTCGTTGCAAGTGAAACCAAGTTTATGTTAGGTGACACCTGCATAGCTTACAATGCCTGTAAACGAAAAGAATGAGTAAACGACATAATAATGATTTTATAGGTCTACAACTTATTTCTTGCCTCCGAGTTGTTTCTATTCCAGAGCTGAATTGTGAGTACCCCACTACGCAAAATCATACTTCCTATCAATAAACATGTCCACCGCGATGGTATCACAGTCAACCTAGATCGAATGAATAGCCAATCTATATATCACACCATTAACAGGAGGGACAAATTCAGTTGCATATTGACATACTCAAATCCAATCTATCAATATATATATGTGTGTTTGTACATATATATACATATATATATATATATATATATAATATATATATATACGTATATATATATATATATATATATATATATATATATATATATATATATATATATATATATGTATTATAAATCATATATATATATATATATATATAAATATATATATATATATATATATATATATATATATATATATATTTATATATATATATATATTTGAGTATATAAATATATATATATATATATATATACATATATATATATATATTTATATATATATATATATTTGAGTATATAAATATATATATATATATATATTATGTATACATAATACACACACACACATATATATATATATATATATATATGTATATATATATATATATATTTGTGTGTGTGTGTGTGTATGTGTATATATATATATATATGTGTGTGTGTGTGTGTGTGTGTGTAAGTGTGTGTGCGTGGGTGTTTTTGTGTGTGTGTGCGTTTTAATAAAAAAAAATTATATATATATACATGTATATTATATATAAACAC